CATCCTGTACTTGCTCCATCAAATGCACCAACCCTAAACTGCTTCACGGAGGTCACGCAAGCTGAGCTTTCAAAAATCATCTCAGTATAGACTTAGACATAGATCTGATGCTTCATCTGAGACTTCAGGAAATACTGTATCTTTATGTGAAAATCCACACTTATGATCAAAAACCGTTGACATGAGATGAACACATATGTATTGTATCATGCTATTTTTACCATGTGATATTTTTACGTTTCTTATTTTCTTACAAATATGCAAATACTGTAATATAACATTACATATTAAACATATTCAATTACCTAATTCCCTGATTAGTTTGACCTTTTTTAACAAACAGCAGTTGAACATTATTCAACAGTATTATTATATTAATATATAATGTAATATTATTGCAAATGCAACTTATTAAATCATGATAATGTTACTATACTTTGTCTTGAACTTTAGTGCAATGATGATTGAAACATGTTTATTATTATTGACATAAATAGTAGCTGCTCAGTGAATCTGTTTACATTTGATATTTATTCTGATGTTTAGTAAATGTTCAGAGTTAAATTAGATTAGATGCATCCATAAACACAACACACATGTCCATTAATACCAATGTCCAATAATACGCAACAAACGGAGAAAAACAAGACAATAACGAAAATATTTAATCCGTTTTAACCAGACATGCAAGAAGACAAGTGTGTTTATAAAATTAGCACATTACTCATTATACCAACATTAATATATATATATATATAAAGGATTCCCTCAACTAATCTCCCTGANGAGAATATCCATGTTGAGTCTTTTGTAGACTTATGGAAGACAGAACATGACATAAGTAACAAATAAATAAATGCGTAAACACATGAATAAATACAGGAATACAAAAATACAAGAATAAATAAATGTAAAAAGAACTGAAATAAATAAATGTGGTAATAAATACAACAAAAAATAAATAAATAAGGAAATAAATCAATCAATGTGTAAAAAAATAAATAAAAGTTGAGAATAAAACAGAACACACATTATTATATATCTCAATGTATTTCTACATTTATATCTTAATTTCTGTTTTTTTGCTTGGTAGCCTTGTATTCTGGATACAACAACATTTATAACACATACTTTCAATGCTCTGAAAGTTACAATTGCACGTATCTTTAACAATATCTTTGAGTTGCTATAATATTTAATTTATCTTCAGAGCCAGTTATAACTGTTTATGAGCGTCAAAAATGGTGTTGCTATATAAGGTTTTGCTATTACCTGAAACTCAATAACAGGAGTGTAAGGTATGGGATTTTTGATTGAGATATCTTTGCCTATGCACCACTGGATAAGAAATCACGAACACATGCAGCTCCTCTATTTGGCACAAGAGAGCAGCATAACGCGATTTTCATCCAGCTGAAGTTTGTCCTGTCCGGCTTGCTGTAGTTGCCGGGTGTTGGAGGTCGGACATTCCCATGTAACATCCACTGCGAAATGCTATACAAGCGCCGAAAAGAGTGTGATTAACGTGAAATTACAGAGACATGTGGCCCACACTGGTCTCTGAATGACATTTACTCCCGAGCTGAACAGTCGTTCGTTAACAAGAAGAGCGTAGAAAACACGGAGGACCTCCAAAAACTGTCCGTCCGTTTTGTCCTACAAAGGAGAGTTTGACAGGACTTCAGTGCGCGGGCCTGCTGCTAGAGGAGGACGCTATCCAGAGGACTTCATGAGACAATAAACACTGTCCTTTCTGTTGAAGGAAGCAAGAGAAAACATGAGGAAGGACGTGAGGATACTGCTTGTGGGGGAACGTAAGTAGCCTTTAATCCAGAAGCTGGTGAACGCTTTATTAGCTAACATGCTAGTGAGGTAGCTAGAGGCTACAGCTAGCAGATGCACCCAGTGAATAGATAGATAGATATTTAGGAAATACACATGGTGAAAAAACACTATGATTTTGTAATGCATCTCTGACATTTTAAAGACTGAAAGGGGGATTTAGAAAATAAGAGAATTTAAAATATTAATTAAAATTTGTTTTAGCCCTGGTTAGATAGATAGATAGATAGATAGGCTACTGTATTTATCCCAAGTTGGGTTATTATTTTGTCACAGCAAATCTTAAGGATAGACATTCAAAATGTAAAAGCAATATATACACATTATCAGTCAAACATACCTCAGAGGAGTATCTCCACATTATAACATACTCTATAATATGCCAAACTACTGAACATATTGTACTAAACACAGTGTACATGAAAACACACTGTGTACAATATACTAAAACAAAAGACTTTGATAAGAATAAATATCCTGAGCTTTGGTTTCTGTCTGCTGTTTCCATTTAAGTATCTCACAGTGCATCATACCTTATCACGAGTGTTTCCATGTGCTGCCATATCTCAATAAGCTACTTCTCATGAGCAGACATTATCTCATGTTCAGGCTGTGGGAAATAACAATGCTCCCAGGTGTAAATGCTTTACAAAGGCACTTAAGTAGTATGAAGGCGGTATTTATTTCTAGCCTGCTGTGTAATTGATTTAGATTGTATAAACAAGAACATAAATATAGTGAATATTGGGTCTTTGTTATTACAAGATCTTAACTTTCCCCAGGAACTCGATGTGAGGGCGGAGTAAAGCCATAAAGGCGACACACTCATAGTTGAACAACTCTATCGCCTGGTCTGTTTGTTCTCTTGAAAGCGTGTGTTGTCAGTACTATTTCTACTTCAGTTAAGGCTATGCCTGATGCCCTACTTTGTCACATAAGGCGAGTTGGTACTGACTGTTCCTGAAAAAAGGAACGCTAAATAATATGTGCCTTCGCCAGAGTTGTAAAGTTCATCAGAGTCTGTGGGGTCACAGATCTGTGAAGACACTGAGGAACCAGAGGGGCTGCAACCTGGGGCTTAAAGGGATCCGTTTCCTGATTGATCAATCTGACGACCATTTGTTCAATTCATTGTTTGCTCTCTATTGTGTTCATAAAAATACCCTTTCAGTTCCCAGGCACCAAGATGTTTTCAAAGTGATGTTTATTATCTAACCAGCAGTCCAAAAATATAACTCCAAAACATTACATTTCCAATAATAATATAGAAAACAGAAAAAACCATGCATCAAGATAATTAGAGTGATAGACTAATTGGATAATCAATGAATAGTTTAAATCCAATCATTCAATACAAGAAATGGCAACTTATGAATGTTATTATGTCTGTTAGAATATTTATGTTTTAATATATCTATAGTGATTACATTGTAAAAGAGTTGGATGATTTGTTGTTGTTTTGATTGCTCTTTTTTCTTTTTACTAGCATTTGTTCTGGTGTAGAAATAAGCTTATTCTAGGTCATTTAAAAGAGAATGTTGTGAAGTGATGATAATTAAGAGTAAATGTGGAGAATTCACTTAAAATATCCAATTCAAATGAGTTACTTAGAATACACGTGCAGCTCTTAGTCTAACCTTTCTACTCTCAGACTGTATTTCTCCACCATGTGTTGTTTCCTTGCTCCGAGCTGGAATTCAGTGAATGCTCTTTGGGAACCGTTGCACTCGGCTTCAGCTCTGACCCTGCTTCAGCTGCTCTGGTCTGCGCTCTGTAACTTAACACATTACCCAGAGCACTCAATAGAAATGGAGGAGAGGTCACGTGTTAATGAACCCATTGTCAGTCAAAGATGTATGTAATTCCAGATTGTAACGACACATTTCTTTGTCCTTCGTCTGTACAGCCAAGGTGGGGAAGACATCGCTGATCATGTCTCTGGTCAGTGAGGAGTTTCCTGATGAGGTATGTAACAACAGGAAATCAGGGGATGGATACCGTTGAAATCATTTATGCTGCATCCTGATCAAATTAATATGGGATGGGCGGTTGTCTGTAGATTTGTCTGAATGTTATTTGGTGATGTCAGAACCATGAGGGTTAAAAAAAGGGGAAAAACACATGTTATATTTTTAGATGTGTGTTTGTTGTCCAGAATAATTAATCGTCTTTTTCTATCTCCCAGGTTCCCCTTCGAGCTGAGGAGATCACCATCCCAGCTGATGTCACCCCAGAGAGGGTGCCCACACACATTGTGGACTATTCAGGTACATCTCCCACCTACCACACACATGGGCTGCATGTCTGATATTTGTAATAATCCCTACCGAGTATAATCTGAGTAATAGATTAATTTGGTAACAGCACAGCTTGATTACATATTATTTACTGTAGTGATGTTTCCTTTTTGACACCGTATAGAGGCAGAACAGACAGAAGAGCAGCTGTTCCAAGAAATATCAAAGGTATGTTTGACCTAATTCTCACTTTCCTCTGGTTCAGTAATGCCTGAACACATTGTTGATATTGATATTTGTCTTTACAGGCCAATGTTATCTGCATAGTTTACGCTGTCAACAACAAGAAGTCCATTGAAAAGGTGAGCATGGCGTCTTTCTGTACTCTGTAGAGTTAATCAAATACACGACTGAAGTATTTCTGGAATTTTAAACAAGGCAAGCTTTTTCTAATCATCTTAGTCTGAGAAAATAAATGTGTTTGTGCCGCTGCAGTGTTTGAAGTTGTGCTTTGCTCCTCTAGGTGACAAGCCACTGGATCCCTCTCATAAATGACAGAACAGACAAGGATAGCAGGTGTGTGTTCAGCCATTTTAATAGATGTGTGTTCGTCTTCCTTGTGGTTCACTTCATTGCAGACTTGAAATCAGAGTGCTGGGAGCTAAGGATTTTGAGATTATTGTCCAAAAGAGGGCTTACCATTGTTGAGCTAATACTGACTTAACTGCATGCCACACTTTAAAATATAGAATCATTATTTCTGTTTTACCAATGCTAATTATTGTAAATTAAATGAATGAATACAGATTAATTTGATGTGTTGTTTAAAGATGACATTTTTTAAAAGATGATTTCAAGGTAAATAAAGCGAATATGCGTTATGACAACATATTCTAGTAGGGCTGCTAATGACTATTTTTAATATCAATTAATAACCATTTTCTCATAAATACATTTTGTCAAACCAATAGTTCAAAATCCCCCAAAAACCATTCTCATTCATATAAAAAAGGGAAAAACAGCAAATCCTCACTCTGGAGAGGCGAACCAGACAATTCTTGGCATTAAAAAAGCTGCCTATAATTTATTCTGTCAATTAACTAATTGTTTAATGGACCTATGGTGCTGGCTCTATAATGTAGTTATAAATACTTTCTCTGCAGAGTACCACTGATCCTAGTGGGGAACAAGTCGGACCTGGTGGAACACAGCAGCATGGAGACCATCCTGCCAATCATGAATCAATACCAGGACATCGAGACATGTGTAGAGGTAAGACATCGATACACACACACACACACACAGATAAAAACCTTTTTGGTCTATTGAGGCAGAGCTGTGTGGATGTCCAACTCAGTTAAATATCAGAGAAAGTACTTTGATGAAGCACTTAAGAGCAATTAATTGGCATCCAATGAAATCCAATATAAGCAGTGACTGTCAGAGAGGCTGGCTCTGTGCTGGACAGATCGCCCCCCCCCGCTGCGCTCCAGCTCCTGACTCCACTTACCTTCTGACTGAGTGGTTGATAGATTTATTTCTCTGAACCCCGCTCTCTAAGGCCATCGTCTGCTGACTGATGGACTGCGAGTGTGTTGAGAGGGTAACAAGGTTACAGAGGGAGAGGAGGAGGACGTGAGAGAAGGCACATGCAGTGATTCAGTTAGGGGACACTCACCTGGGGACACACACGCACTAATGTTTTACTGCTAGCTCAGTGTCCAACCAGGGCCCCTGATTGGCTGTAACTCCTGCTTCTCCAAGTTATTTATATATCTGTTTCTTTGTCAGTGTCAACCATTTTACAATGTTTTTTTTAGGTAAAACTGCAGTACTCTGCACTTACAATTGAAAGTTCTGGATTCAAAATTCTTCTTAAGTTGAACTTCACAAATAATGGAAAACAGTTCTGTACTCATTCTTAATCCCACATTTGTTTGTCTGTGTTATTTTCTTGAATGTGTGTAAGCTGCACTTATTTCTTGTATAGACTATTTTACAGATTTTTAAAAATATTTTTGTATTTGATATGCTCTCAATATTTCTATTTTTACTACACCTGCCAAATAAATGAAGTAATGTTAGTATATCAAATATTCTTATCTGAAATATAGTGGAGTAGAAATATAAAGTAGCAAACATAAAGAAAATAACTCTGAGTTGTACTCAACTTGAGTAAATGTACTTAGTTACTTTCCAACATACATTTTGACTAACTCTTATTTCAGAGCTTGAAGCCTCTATTGACATTGTTAAAGTGTGTATTCAACTAACTCAACTAACTTTGATTGTTGTGGAGGTTATAGTAATAGACTTTTTTTTCGAAGTGAACTTTTAAATTCCATGGAGATGCATTGCCTGATAATTGTCCTCTATTCCCACACATCTGCCCTCTTTCCCCTCAGTGCTCTGCTAAAAACCTGAAGAACATTTCGGAGCTGTTCTACTACGCCCAGAAGGCTGTGCTCCACCCGACGGGACCCCTGTACTGCCCGGAGGAGAAGGAGGTGAGAGCCTTAAAGACTTTCTGAGATTAACATCCAGCTAAGGACAAACCTGCAAATAGGTTGAGACTGTCTTTCAGTCCAATAGTAGCTCAACACGGTCCACACTCAATGTGCTCAACATTAATCCCATAATACACCAACGTTTCTGAGTTCATCTATAAACCCCAGCAAGCCAAAAGAATGAAGGAAAATGTAAACGTGTGACTTGACTCACGGAAAGCCCTGGCCTCACATTACATAACAATGATACCAGTCGATGAGCTGTGTTTAGATTTTAAACTAGGGGTCAAAGGAGCCTTAAGTGATGTGTCTAGTATGGCAGATACCCTGAGATGACAACAAGTTGTGTTGGTGCATCCCCTAGCGTTAGCTGCCACTATGCTTACTGTTGATTTAAGCATTTCTGTATAAGTACATTTAACCACCTTGATAATTATATTTCTTCTTTATTACAGTTGAAGCCTTCCTGCATCAAGTCTTTAACTAGAATCTTTAAAGTGTCTGACCTGGACAACGACGGCATCCTCAATGACAATGAGCTCAACTTCTTCCAGGTAAGGCTCTCCACTTTAATAGTGTCACTGTCGACCAGTTGTTCATGAATAGATAGAAAATGTGGCAGATTTAAACATGAACCAAACATAAAAACACCCATCAGCTTTCTCACGGCACACTATGCATGGCTTGTTTGTTCAGAGAACGTGTTTCAATACACCGCTGGCGCCTCAGGCTTTAGAGGATGTGAAGAATGTGGTCAGGAGAAACATGACGGATGGAGTCAACGACGACGGACTTACACTCAAAGGTCAGAAACTCCTCGATGGTTTTAGTTTCCTCCTATTTCCTCCATCGTCCAAAGTATTACCTATTCCCCTTCATATCCCCTCAAAATGCCTTCTCCTTTCCTGATTATATTTGTAGGCGTTTGCTTATTACTTTTTTGTGTCTTCTATATCAGGCTTCCTGTTCCTCCACACCCTCTTCATCCAGCGAGGCCGACACGAGACCACCTGGACGGTGCTGAGGAGGTTTGGATATGACGACGACCTGGAGCTCACACAGGAATACCTGTTCCCCATGTAAGTGCACATTTAAAAACACAAGGGTTATTGGTAGCTTGGTAGTCTTTGTTTTACAACATCAAAGAAAATAATCAGACATTTTGAACAAAAGGATATTGTTCATTTTTCCTTGAAATTCGACTTGCAAACAGTTAATACAAATCAAAAATAGTCACAGAATAATAATAATGGTTGCAGCTCGAAAGATGCTGCAAACAAATATATTTTTACAAAAATGTGTCATGCCTAATGGATCCAGATTCATCAGTCACATTATTGCAGCCCTGTTTCATTTATAACTTTACAAAATGATACATAAAAGTGTTTTTATTAAGTTATCATTCATCGTCATCATCTTATGGATGTCGTGTTCCTCTGTTGAAATGATGTAATTTCTATCAGTCATCTCCTCTTGTTAACAGATGTGTTCTGGTTGAGTGCCTGGTATTTGAAGTGATTTAGTGAGATTCTTTCTTCCTTTGTCCCCTTTTGAAAGTGGTTGTTTCTGTGTGTCCCTGTATCGCAGGGTAAAGATCCCCCCGGACTGCACCACAGAGCTCAATCACAACGCTTACCTCTTCCTCCAGAGTGTCTTCGACAAACATGACAAAGTGAGTGATTGGCAATGAATCTACATACCTGTTACTGTTATTTAAAATGCTTGATACCGCTTATTCTGTTTTCTTATGTTCAAATGTGTGACTGTAACTGTGTGCGCTTGGTACGACCCAGGACAAAGATTGTGCGCTGTCACCAGAGGAGGTGAAGGACTTGTTCAAAGTGTTTCCCTACATGCCCTGGGGCCCGGATGTCAACCACACGGTGGGCACTAACGAACAGGGATGGATCACATACCAGGGATACCTCTCCCAGTGGACGTGAGTGTGGAATATAGCTATTAATATACACACACACACACACACACACACACACACACACACACACACACACACACACACACACACACACACACACACACACACACACACACACACACACACACACACACACACACACACACACACACACACACACACACACACACACTACTACTACTACTACACTACTACTACACTACTACTACACACACACACACACACTACACAACACACACACACACACNTATTAAAAGTTGATAAATCAATTTAGCGAAAATGAAGGCTATTAAACGGCATTTTCCAAGGTATTAAATGTTGTATCTTGTTTTCAATAAGTATATAACTTGTCCAAAGAGGTTGTATTCTACAGTCTGCCTGAATGTAATCATTGCGTAGATGTGTAGTGTGATTCTGTGGAGTTTATTTATGGCATCCCGTTGGATTTGACGTCATCTGAACAGGACATCTCACGCTCACTGCTTGATAGCGTGCGAAGGTCCGTTTACGCCGGTTGCTAAGCAACATCGTTATGGGGAAATGCAAGTTTGCGTCCAAATGGTTGGAAGATAAGGAGGAAGGGCAATCAATACTGTATATCAGGGGTCGGCAACCCCTGGCACGCGGCAATGTAACCAGTGGCACACTAGGAATAAGTGGAATAAGTGTGCAAAA